AGAACAATATTACTGAACTCTTATTGTGTCCAATAAGACACTCCTGCCTTTGTTTATGACAAACGTTTGGTCAGACTTTAATGTAACTTCCTTGCTGCCCATCTCAATATTTAATATTCCAAAGATGAATCTTGATGTCATAAATGAAGTTGTGCAGCATGCAGTTGTATTCCATATGAATTATGATCCTGATAATATTGCTTGTCAGCAGTCCTTAGCCTTATGGTGTTTGTGACTTCATATTTTGTGTAGCTTAAAGTACAGTCAGGTAGAAAAGAAAGATTTTTACCCCAGAACAGTTTCTGAGACTAAAAGCCCAAACTCAGCCCTGCTGCATGTGTGGGTCTCTGCATATGCTGAGCCAAGTTTTGCTTTGCTTTAATTGCCTCTGAGTAATTTTCCTCCATCTGGCTGCCAATCTTTGGTCCAGAACTCCTCCTACGGGACAGATTTTCTGTGAAAACTGTAATCTGTCAACAAGGCGCTCACACACGAGGACTCGTCCACTTCTCCCAGACCCGGGCCAACTGGTCTGATGGTCCACCGGTCCACCGATCCATCGATCCACCGGTCCACCGATCCACCAGTCCACCGTTCCACCGATCCACCGGTCCACCGATCCACCGGTCCACCGATCCACCGATCCACCAGTCCACCGATCCACCGATCCACCGATCCACCGATCCACCGGCCTGATGGTCCACCAGTCCATCACGCTGCCAATCGGAGGCCGTGTTTCTGTCTTTCTTCTCACAGCTGCATGCTTGTGTTGTTCTCCCAACATCCTCTGCCAACCATTCTGCCTTTGAGCAATGGGCGGCGATGCTTCTGGTCCTCATTTATCTGCCTTTATCGAATCCACTTTCTCCAGAGCTGGATTTACAGGCGGCCTGGGTCCTGCCTGCCTGTGTGTGCGTAACACAGAGGCTGTCTGGCTGCTTCTCTTTGTTTATTGGTATTTGTTAGCAGCCAGGTTCATTTGCATTCAGTTTCTATTTTTAGTTTTTAAAGAACATGAGAACAATATCCATCGCATTAACTTTGTTTAAAAAATCTGCAGTTTTACTGGAGCTGAGCAGCTTGTTGCGGTTTTATCTGTGCAGCAGTTTGACGCGACCTATCAGCGTGTTTGTCTCTGCAGCAGCCTGCATTGGTCAGTTGAGATGAAGCAGCTGTGATGCTCAGACTTGCCAGGGTTGATGTCGTGCAGCGGCTTCAGTTCCCCGTCGGTGGGAGGAATAGATCATTCTGCTTCTGACGCAGAGCAGGACGTGCTTTTGTTTCTGCACAACCTGCGAATCTCCCTCACAGGTGGCTTTGATTCTTCACATTTTTCTGAAGCTGCATTGAATCAGGCTATAAAAGCCCTAATTTGTTTCATATGAACCAGGCTGTTTGCTCTGCCAGGCAGAGCTTTTGTTGCCTGCAGTGATTGGAAAAAACTGTTTCAGGGATGGAACCAGTAAGAGTCTGATTATAAAATCAAATAAAATAAATAAAAACATATTCAAATTATTACTGAACTGGGTCAATAACAGAACCATTATTCCTAATGAAGCAGCAAGAAAACTAAAGTCAGTGTGTCACAAAGACGTCAACATGTTCATGAAGATGTCATAAAGTGACCCTAAAACCTTAATACTCTGACCAAAGCTGTAGTGTTGTCTCTTTTTTCTTCTGCTCTCATTATCATGGTAAAACCAGGAATGGTTTGTTGGGCTTGAATAAAATAACTTTTAAGGAAGTTCACTCAGGGATTATCTCCAACCCAGGGAGTTTGTCGTATCACTTAACAAGGATTATCTAACTGTCAAAGCATCTGAGGTGATTTTCTGTAAAGTGATCCTGAAACCAGAAGATTCTGGAGCGTCTCTGCAGGCGGGTAACGCTGCGGCGGCTGCAGGAAGTTGGATGAGTCTCTGCAGCTACCGTGCAGCAGCGCAGTTCATCTGAAGGCCCTCGGGTTGAATTAAGCTCTGTGTGCTGTGAGGCACAAGCTACGGGCAGGAAAACCAGGAATGACGGGATTTCAGTGGGATTTTAGGCGTGTGTGAAGGTCAGCTGTCACAGTCTGGGTGGTTTAGGCATCAAATTTCTCCACAAATACTTTTTTCCTGTCAAACTTATATTAAGAGTTCCTCTACGGCTGATAGAATCTGCTTTAATTCCATTTCAGTTCATTTATATGACACAATTCACAACAAAGTGAACATAAAACACTTTACAGCCATTTTAGCTTTCATTACAACCCTTTACTGAAGCATTTTAGGATCAGAAAACAACTTTTAAGAACAATGTGATCGTAAAGAGTTAGTTCATCCTTGAATAACAAACACATGGATTTCCTGCATGGTTCCATTGTTTCTAATTTTGACAATATTGTGGAGGTTGAAGGAGGACGTCATAGAAACCTGATTAATGAGGGATTTAGAGGACACATGTTCTGACTGACGGATCCCTCAGCGTTTCACCCAAACACCAAATTACAAACTGAAAACTGATATTTATGAAACAAAAACTTCTTTTAGTCAGCATTAGTTTTCATTCCCCATCATGCAGTCAATGATAAAGTCATACTTTCCAAATCTTTCATAAAGATTTGTTGGATGCGCCTGATGTCTTAGTGGGTGATAATAAAACTGTTGCTGATTCACTCTGAGCCAAAGGCTGTAAATACATCCTGTGACCCAACTGTTGGATTCTCTGTTTGACATCCATTGCTTTTATGTTGTCGCTTTTGCTGTGCTAACACATTCATCCACTGTTTCTCAGAGAAAGTCAGAGCAGATGGTTGTCAGATAAAACCATCGTGAGAGAAATCCAGGATCCATGCAGTAAACATGCGGCTCGCGTTGAGAAGTTACCAAAAAGCCGTGGATTCAGTGGCGCTCCAGGATATTTCCTCATGTCGCTGTAATCTCTGCACAGACAGAAGCGCTGTGGTATGCATATAATTCAGCTCCCTCCTCACACAGAATCGGCCATCATGTCAGACTGCATGGCAGAAATTGGGAGAATGCATCAGACGTTGGGCTGCAGCCAGACGCTGCAGAACCAAACCAATGGAGCCTCATGTCGTCCTCCAGGACTGATGGCTGCGGCTTCCAGCTCTACCCAGAGGATCTGATGACACTCCGTCATGTAAACATGTTTCTGTTTCAATGATGCAATTCAGCTGACTGACTGATCTAAATGAAGATCTTTTTGCTTCTTTTGCTTTTTAATGACATCAGGGAATTAAGAAATGGAACTGGTTAAAATATAATTGTGCAAATTGTAAATCGTTTGCATATGTTTTGCATATTCAACTTTAAAGCAAATTAATACTTTAGATTACCAAAAATAGTATATAACTAATTACGTTAGTTACATATTATATTACAATGTTATTTTATCATGAAACAGAACAGAAACTAATCGCTGAGCGCCTCGAACAGCTGAATCATTTTATGTTCCTGCTGGAATTATGCTTATCAATTTATGACAGCCGATGTTTATAAACTAAATATTTGCTCTTTGGATGGACTACACAACTAATTCAACGTATAAAACTATGAATTTCTATGACTTTATGGCATTTTTTGCAATCTTTCTGCTTTATATTGAATATTTGATGCTTTTCTTCATAAGCAGCTGCTCATCTCATGGAGTTTATTTTACTGTTTGACAGCAGATTGTGTCACAGCTTCACTTCGCCGTTGTTGCTGGTGCATCAGCTCAATGACATCAGAGAGAACCGTTTGTTTCCAAACGCTTTGACGTGACCCCGCCCCGCTCTGGGTTGAGCCCTGGGTCTGCATGGTCAGACGAGACCATGACTGATGTTAGGATGGAGCATAAAAACGTCTGGATGGATGAACATCAGAGGTGCAACTGGGTGTCAGCTTGGTTATGATTTTATCCTTGATTAAAATCATTGCAGATCCTCTAAAACTGCCATTAAAAAGTCCCAGCTACCATGTCTTGTGAATACTCCAGGGTGTATTCAGTCTGAGTGTTTTTACATCTCTGTTTCTTCAGCTTTGTGTTCTCTGCAGTGTTTTTCAGAATCTGGTTTCATAATGAAAAGATGTTTCCAAGTGGGTGAAACCTCCATCTGTTCTCTAAAGCGTTTTGTCACTCTGGAGTTTGGAAAACCAAAATGTTTCATGCAGTTTTTACCTTCAGCAAACTTCTGGGCTTGAAGTGATGAGCGACAGAGATCTGAAAAAGTATGCACACCTCTTGAACTATTTACCTTTTTTACATGGCAACACAGGAATGTCAGAAGCAAACATGACCAATAACTGTTTACAAATAAAAACCTTATAAAATGGCAAATATTTGTTCTCAACTCCTTTCACTTTGATAGCCTCCAATAAAAACATTCAGAATAACTTACTGGGTTATTTACCTAGGAGGTAAATAAGAGTAATGTGAAACCAGGAAGATGGCACCACCCTGAGCGTCTGACAGTAAAACAGGGACGCAGATTTAACAAGACACACGTTGGGCTGCAGCCAGATGCTGCAGCCAGAACCGTCTGGTTCTGAATACAGAACCAGACGGTTGGTCAGAGTTGGACCAAATCCTGGCAGGAACCTGAAGGCTGCAGAAGACGTGAAGCTGGGATGGAGGTTCACCTTCCAGCAGGACAATGACCCTAATAGAGTGCATTCGGAATGGCCTAGTCAAAGTCAAGACCTAAATCCACCTGAGGATCTGTTGCAAGACTTGAAAATTCATGTTTACAGAGGCTCTCCATTCAAACTAAAGAAGTCCTTTTTACACTAAAGACTGCACAAAACGTTCAGCTTGTTTGCGTGAAAGGAGACATACCCCAGAAGACTTGTAACTGTAATTGATGGGACATGTCACGTTGAAACGGGACAGAATGGGAAACATCAAGGGTTCTGAACGGGTTTCCAAGCGGTTTAGAAATGAAGAGTAATTATTGTTTGGTGTAAATCAAAATGATGTTGTAAAAACGGGATGTTGGTGTCGGTGTGTTTGTGCCTCAGGTTGGTGGTTCGTCAGCACGTCGGAGCAGCAGGGCTGGGTCCCAGCCACATACCTGGACTCCCAGAATGGAACCAGAGACGATTCGGATCTGGCCACCTCCAGGACCGGAGAAGGTTTGTTCACAGAAACATTATTACAGTCATAAAACACAAAAACACATAAAAGTCAGTGTGGCAGACTCGCTGTGGGAGAAATGTCTGCAGGGCAGAAGCAGAGATTTCTCAATCGTGATGTTTTTGCTGTGTTTGTTTTCCACATATAAATCTCAGCCTGAAAACAGTCTTTAAAAGTTAATCTTAAACACACCTCCAGTCACACATTCGGAGCCTTTGAGGCCTCAGTCGCAGTGTTATGGTGAAATGGTACCAGACAGCTGCCAAAGTGGGCTGCAGTACTTTGGCACCACAGAAAATTCCTTCCTGTTCCCCAGGATCCTGCAGCTCTCTGCAGGAACCTCGTTGTGTTGTGACCCTTTACTCCCAAATGTTTAGTCTGATGCTGGGATGAAGTATTTCATCACTGTGTCACAACACCCCCCAGTTGGGATTTTCAGAGAGAGGGAACTTTACTGAGATGTGTAACATGCAAACACACAAATATGCAAACATGTCTGCTGCTCAGAATCTTAAACTGTATTCAATTTATTTTATAAAGACTTTTTCTGCCTTTGGATTATCTAACAAACCTTTTCTCTCTCACTACATGCTTCAGAAGATTGTGCAGCCTCACTTACATTAGCTCCTTTCTTCTGCTCTTTGAATCCCAACTCAATATTCATAGAGTAAATTTGAATTTGGAGTAGTGGGGCACTTTTAAAATAACTTTGTCCTTTGAGGAAGCTTCAGCCAGGTAAATTTGATGCTTGTTTGTCTTCAGCTGTGTTTCTTAGAGAATGGTTGTGTTGCTGTCAGAGACTAACAGCCACTGGGAGGAAGGATCTCCTGTAATGCTCCTTGTGCATTTAGGGTGCATCTTGATGTAGGAAATTTTTCAGAAAAACCTTGCTGTTGGTTGGTGTTTTTGAGCTTTTTATTTAAATGTATTTATAGCTGTACTTTGGATCTGATTATTACTGGAACTTGGACATTGAAAGTTGATGCAAAGCCTCATCAAAGCTTCTGCTATCAGATCCTAGAATGACGTTGAGTTGAATCGTATACTCTGCTCCATCTTGTCCCTGCAGTGCCTCCATTCGTACTGTTTGCACACATCGTCACTTCTCATATCTGATCTTCCTCCCTCACATTACTGTTGCCCCTTCCATCTTATTATCTCCATGTGGTCCGCAAGCTAATTCTGCTGACGGCCCGGCTCACTGGAGAGAAACCGACAGGCACAGCTCCACTAAAATTACCTCGAAATAACATTTCCTCTCTGTGCCTGAGCTGATATTTCAATTAAGAGGTCAACAGGAGCAAGGTGAAGCTCAGCAGGATCGCTGCTGATTCAGAGAGGGACCAGAAGAGAGAGGAGATGACAAGTGCCAGAGACAGACAAAAGGAGAAGAGGGATACTGAGAAAGAGGAACATTTGGGAGATAAAAGAGGGCAGAAGATAAGACACTGAGAGACAAAGAAGGAATTAGATTTCCACAGCATAAGACGGATAAAAGACGAGTTTTCTCTGCCTGCTCTTCTTTTCACTGATGTTTGCTCTCCATATGCCCTCAGATTAATCACTTTATAACTTCTGATGCATTATACAGCCTCTGAACTAATGATTGTGAGAAAGTTCAAGAGTTCATGGCTCAGTTAGTTAGTAATACCACTTAATTATTTGTCATGAGATGTGTTGATTCGCATCTCGTGTGTCCGAGTTGAGATGTGGATGGATCAGTAAATCTGGAGCATCAAATTTTACTTCTGCTACTTATTTCCCCTTCAAGCTGCGTTGCTGCAGAAAACAAACTCTGGATGTGGCTTCGTCTCTGAGTTCATCCAGCCTCCTCTCAGGAACAAAAGGCTTATTTGAAGTCTGAGGAGGAACAGTTTGGACTGGTTTGAACATCCAGGGGCTGTGAGCTTCAGGGTTTCCTCACCTTATTGGTAGAGCATCAGGTCAATGATGCACCAAGTGACCTCTGTTGGTAAATTGACCTCAGAGAGGAGCCAGATTGGAAGCAAGTCCAGTTCATTTCTCTTATGTTCAGTATTGTCAGTGATCATGGTGAAATGTTCAGAACTAAATAATTAACGATGATGGGTCAACATCCGCTGGTCTGCTAAAGAGGCATCTTTTGCGCTTTGGGGCTTTTGCTAACTTTGCTTCCCCTAAATAAACTTTTCCAGATAAATTATAAAGTGCAAATGTATTTAGCTATTTTGTAAAGCTTTGTCATCTTTGTTGAAGTTATTTATGGATTTCTAAGAACTCTTCAAGAAGTGATACGTTTGTGTTCATGCTCTTATTTTGAAGGTTTGAAGGCTGTTTACGCAGCAGTTCCGTTTCCTGTCTGACTTGATGAAGCACTTAAGCATTAGTAAAATTAATGTTTATGATTAGTGCTGCATGTTGGCTGCACCCACCATTGGAAACCCAAACTGCATAAACTGGCTTCTGATGACCACAGAATAACTAACAGTGTGTTAAAGTTCCTTCTAGATGAAGAAATACATTTCTGTCCAGTAATCCTTCACTTTTATGCTTGAATCTATTTTTCAGTTCCTAACAAAACTTTCCTTCTTCACATTGCCAAACCAAGCTTCTTACACTAATCAGTTATTTAATTTGCTCCATTTATTTTCTTGTGTTTTGGTTGCTGCTGCTGCTCATCAACAGTTACTAAGAGGAGAAAGGCTCACCTGAAGAGGCTGGACCGCCGCTGGACCCTCGGTGGTATAGTTAACCGCCAGCAGAGCAGAGGTGAACGAACAGACACAATCCTCACATAAAAACCTGCATCAAACAACAGCAAACAACAGTGTCCTGCATATCTCCTACATGTTCACCTGGAGATCAATATTGGTCTTATGAATCATACCTACAAATCATCAATACATGGCTCAATCAGATAAGAATTTTATTGAATTTGCATAAAATGTGTAAAAGTGTTTCCTAAAGAAAACAGTGAACCTTTCTGCACCTCCTTCACTTCATGAATATTGTTTAAAATCTTTAAACATTTAATTGAATATTTAGCTTTCCCAGACTGAGTTCAAGTTTTGGTACCTTTGAAATCTTTCACATTTTGGCATTTAAAGTTTTATATATTTTTAGATTGTGCACATTGTCATTATTATTCAGAGTGAAGCAGGTGATGTCATGAAGTTTTGATTTTGACACTAAAAAATTCAGAAACTTTTGATATTTAACAAACGTCACACACTTCATCCATCTTAAACATTATGATCTGTGAATTTTTTAAAATTTTACCCAGTAAGATTCAAAATCTTTGAAGTCTTTAAGTTTCTAAAAAATCTCTTCACCCAAACATAAGTTTCCTTCTGGCAGAACAACGAGCCAGGTGTGTTTTCACATCTGATAGTTTGGTCAGTTTGAATGGGGACCAAAACTGCAGCATTTGTCATATTTTCATTTGGTGCAGTTTGCTTTCACACTGCAATGTCAAACCAACCAAATCCTTTGTCCAAGCAGTTCACCTCCTCGCCTGTGGTGGCGCTGCACCACTGAAGGAAATGACACAAAAACCTCAGAAGAAGACACTGAACACAATACAGAAAGAAATGTAAATAAAAATGGAGTGGCTTCATATTTTAGCGGTTGTACAATTTTCCTTTTGTCTTTTGCAAATGTGCCAAAAAACGCTCATGTGGAAGAAAACCATGGAGAATATCACACAACAGAGAAAAGTTTCAAAGTTCACTTCAACCAAACTGAGACGGCAGTGGATCAGAGTTTGATTACGCAATCAGAATTAAACAGAACCGGCAAATAAACGAGAATTTGATTAAAGCAGAATAAACAGGACTGGTATGAATGAACCGTTTGAACGGTTTAGTCAAAGGCCAGACATAGATCTGACTGAGAACCTCTGGAGAGACTACATGTTATCGCTATAGTTTAGAGATGCTACACATCCAATCTGACTAAAACCGAGCTCATTTCTCTGTCTAAACCGTTTCAGAGACAGTTTGTGATGTAAGAGAGTAAAAAGTCAAAGCAAAAGCGGCGCAGCAGGAAAATAGAAAACTCACACTGGCCAAGGGAAATTTGCTCTTGCTCCATTTAAAATGGCGTAGATCTCCCTGGGGAACCGGTTCTGGCAACGATGGAGCCAGAAATGCCCCAAACCTGCAGTGAAAGGGACTTCGGCAAAGTGTTGAATGCATACAGATAGTTTTCAAATTTTTACTTGTAAACATGGTAATTTTGTATTGTGTCAAAACGTAGGAATATTTAGACAGTTTGAATCCTGTTGTTAGGCAGTCTGCAGGATCTGAGTCTTTTTCTGAGACGTTATGATAACATTATCCTTTTCAACAAACCGTTCTATGCAGACCGCTTCTTACTCATCTAGTTTTGAAGTGTTTGCAACACATTGGTTGCAGTTTCCACACAGTCAGAAAACTGCAGTGTTGCTGCAGCTCCTCCTTTAGTCTCCATCCTGCCACAGAGTTTAGGGTTAAAGTGAACAACCTCATTTGCATCCTCATCTCTTGGCCAACAACAACTTGCACCAGGATCGTGCCAGCAGCTGCGTTTTGGGTGGCCAGAGCTCAGCACAGTCAGAGAAATCTCAAATCTTTCTCCATCAGACGTGAAATGCTTCTCAGCTCAAAGTAAAGCTTTTCCCCCTGAATCCTTACGGCTTTAAAAGCAGCAGATGACTCTCTGTGTTTTACTTGGAAATCAGATGTGAGAATCAGGTGTTATTTTTAACATTATCCACAAAACCTGCTGATTTTTTAAAGAGACGTATAATTCATTAAATTTAGTCCTTTTCTGTGTGGAAGATTACTAAGTTGCTGTCAGACTCAATAGCAATGATCGATAATTTTCAGTCTGGAGTTGTCATGACTTTCTGAAGATCTCATGAAACTGTATTTTAGATCTGCACAACATCTGATCATTCCCTGCGTCTTTCTGGTCTGATCCACCTCAGCAGTTCTTCAGGCTGGTGTGCAAGACTCTTACCTCACCAGATGTGTCTCCCAGAACGCCGAGGCTTGGCCCAGGAATGAGCTTATGGAAAAGTGCTAAAGTGGGCCACAGCCCAATCAGGAGACTGGTTTTAATCACACCAACCTCAGCCTCCGTAGAGCCTCTGAAATGAGTCACCAGGCTAGCTGTCGCCACCAGAGAATGAGGCCATTAAACCTTTTGGAGACCTAAACTCGACTGGTACCAGTTCAGCAAACGCTTCACTGCTGCTCAAACTCATCTTGCTGGATTTTCAGTTATTTGAACCTGCTGAATGGTTGAACCTTTTTATGGCATATGAGACTTTTCATCTCTGATTCATTGGAGGGTTTGGGTCTGCAAAAACAATTAGCTCCTTCATGAAAGTTTTGGGAAAAGCATAAACATCAGGAATGGATCAGAAGGAGGAATGATTTGCTTTGGACATCCATAGACCTGGACCAGAGAGGAGTGAAAAATGATTTGATTTGGTAGGATGTGTCATGCTTGGAACAATCTGTAGTGATAATAGTTTATGGACTGAATTTGTAAAGCATTTTCTCATCATACCAATCACTCCAAGTGATTTACACCAGAGCCAGATTCACCCAGCCGAACGTTGGGTGCCATGATGGCCGTTGGATGGGACAATGAACTGTGATCGTTTTCCAAGTTGTTTTTGTGAATATAGCCATGGCTTCTTCTTCTTCAAGTCAAGCTAATGTGTCTGCGGACGCAGGACAGTTATGACTCATAGACAGCAGCGTGTGCATAATTTGGAAAAAGCTAGCATACTTTCCTCGTCCTGCTGAGTGGATTTAATCATTTCAGCAACTTTGCCTGAATTCACACCACATGATTTATAGCTGCAAAACAACTGATACCTCAGGGTATATATAAATTAACCTAATGTAATAAAACTATGTCATAAAGAGTGTTTCCCTTTACACCAGAGCAGACATAAAGGCGCGCAAAAGTTTAGTCGCTCACCATGATGATTCTGACACATCAGACTCACGATGGCCTCAGGTTCTAATTCTAGATTAACATTTTTCAAAAGAAGAACCCTTCCTATGTTCACCACCAGCCTGCATCTGGACCAACTCACATCCAAATCTGTCAGTTACATGATGGAGTGAATTGAACACAATGACCTAAATATTGCTGATAATTTACCTCGATAAAAGCCGCCCTGAGTGGTTGCCCATGTTGCCCATATGAAAAAGCATCACTCATCAGAATAGTTGTCCAAAAGTAAAAAAGAGAACCAAGAGAAATTATTGTCTCAACACGCAGCACCTCGGCCAAAAGAAACATGAACGGAAGTTTATAAATTGAAGCCGTGGAGGGATTTCCTTCCCTTCCAGGGTCTTTGAGGGGTTGCAGAGTGTGAGAGGGGAGTGATGGTCAAGTAGGGACGAGTCAAGACAAATTTTAGCTCAAATGTCACTTCTTCTGTGAGAGAAGTCACAAATTGAAGAGGAATAACCATCTCTCCAGAGGTGAAGGCTTCACCAAGGTCCAAACAGCTTATATCAGTATAAATGAGCTTTTAATAAGGATCTCATTTACCATTTCTCATCCAAAAAGAAACCTCTTGCTCTTGTTTTGACTCTTCACCCTTCTTCTTCAATAGAGGAGAAATATTTGACGATCCAGCCGTACACCAGCCAAGGCGCGGATGAAGTGAGCTTTGAGAAAGGGGTCACTGTGGAGGTAATCCAGAAGAACCTGGAGGGCTGGTGGTACATCAGGTTAGTCAACCAGAATTGTGCCGTTGACCTTAAAACCCCTCATACTACGCAGCATGCATGTAGCAACAGTGGAGAGGAAAATCTCCACTTGAACAGAAAGGAAGCTCCAGCAGAACCAGAACTGGGCTCAGGATGAGCGACTGTCTGCCACGACCGGCTGGGGGTTGGAGAAAATGCAGCATACGCACAAAAAACACAGAGTTCTTCCTGTGCAAAAGAAAAGTAAAAAGTTAATAGCAGCAGAAGAAGAATGGTTGGCAGCTTTATTGCAGCTTATGCTCCATTTGAGGGAAGAACCACAGCTAATCAGAACCTGGATAACATAATCAGAAAAACATGAGAAAAAAGCAGAGATCATACAGTGAGAGTAGTAGGAGAACATAGCAATTAAAAAATATAGGACGTGTTGCTAATTTGCTTTATTTTTGTACGTTTTGACTGTACAAAATGTACAAAAGTTTGTACATTTGAGTTTGAGCAACTCTTTGGAGTTCTAATACCTGTGGAAAGCATTGGTTTAATCTGCATGTAGAGATCAGACAGAGAGAAAATGATCAAGACAAAACAGTAAAAGATTCTTCTTTGTCTGTTTCACCCAAAGATATTTAGGAAAGGAGGGGTGGGCCCCGGCCTCCTACTTGAAGAAACTAAAAGATGACTTCTCGCCTCGTAAGAAGACCCTAACGGGCCCCGTGGAGATCATCGGAAACATCATGGAGATCAGCAACCTGCTGCAGAAGAAGTCGGTCAGTGAGAAGGACATCCAGACAGACGGAGAGGGAAACAACACGCCGGAGCGCCACATCACCAAGAGCGAGATCAGCCTGCCCATGCCCTATAACTCAGAAATCAACGCCGAGACGGGCAGGAGGCTGAGCGCCGGCCGGGACACCAACAGCCCCTGCCTGGGGATAGCTGCCAGTTCTGCCCTGAGTGAGAAAGTCAGAGGGGAGCCCGGGTCTCCAGCTGTGGCACGAGTGGCTCCACACAGAGTGGAAATTGGTGAGGACATGTCCTGAACGTTGAAGCTTATTTAACTTTTTACAGCAGAGACAAAAGCAGAGAATCACCTGCTGTAAAATGATGGAGTAGTTTGTGTATGAGAAGGTAAAACATGTCTTTGTTTGTGTGTAGGCTTTGAAGCTGTTGGTAAGTCTGACTGGTGGTGTATGGTGATGATTATGAAATAAATGATATTTGCTACGCTAACCTGCTTGCTATGATGGAGTATCAGGAGAAAATTTTTTTAAAAATCCTGGAAATAAGGACATAAAATCCTGAGAATCATATTACAAATTTATTCTGGTAATACTTTGACTGCACTGTTGTATGAGTTTATTCTTCTGTTAATATGATTTTATTCCAGCAATATAATTTTTTTCTCAGTATGGCCCTAATGCTCCATCGTAGCTTGTAGATCTAACATGAGGATTTTCAGACTGTTTGTGGAGTTTGTTTTCTCTCAGAAACTAAAAATTGCGTGAAGTTTCTGTTTACCAGAGTTTATTGCGGCTCTGTTACTCTGAGCAGACTGAGGAGATTTATTGTGTTTTTCAGGGTCTCCAAATCTGAGACAGAAACCTCCCCCAAGAAGAGAAGCCAATTTGGTGAGTCAAAACACAAACTCCCTGCTAACTAAAGAAAAACATTATGAGTCGTAATTTTCCCCTTATCTGTAAAACATATTGATTCCATACGTGTTACATTATTTATAATGAATGGTTGCATGAATCCATCTTCTTTACCTTTCCTTTTAGGGTCTCCAGTTACCAAAGCCACCAGAGCCCCCTGCTGTGGAAGCAGAGTATTACACCATAGCGGATTTCCAGTCCTCCATCTCTGATGGCATCAGTTTCCGTGGAGGACAAAAGGCTGATGTAAGAGGACAGATGCAGAGTGTTGCTGCAGAGATGAGAGAGGGCTGATCGCATATGTATGTCAGCCGAGTGCGACCTTGAGACGCGTTTTAATGAGATCATGTGGAGAGTTTCCTGTGCAGAGATTTGGGCGGAAAGATAAAGACTCTGTGGGAGATCCCCTAGGGGGGCTTCATGAGGAACTCGTGATTATGAACAAGACATTAAACATCATGGGAGCCATTTGTGGAAGAAATTTATTAGCATTTAACAGCATATTAGTGTCGCACACTGACCGTTTTTTATTATTCTACCAATCAGTATTTTGATTAATACATTTTCTAAATGTTTTTTGCTCCAAAATGTCCTCTCTTAAAAAAATAAAATAAAAATATAAGGCCCCTGTATTTGAATTTAGAAATAAAATGCTTGAGTTTTTAAAATGTCAAATATTATAAGACTAAATAATCTAAAATTAGCTCAGTGTTTTCTATTACAATGTAGTGAATCCTAACAAATTTGCAGTTTAGTATTCACAGATTTTTCTTTGGAACAAAACTCCAAGTTATTTGTGAAAAGTGCGCCTACCCACAGATGTTTTCCTGGAGCATATCTAAAATATTCTAAAGAAAATGCAGCTTAGGAAGCTGAAATACCAGACAGGATGTTACTTCACATACTAATGGAAAGAAGCCAATGCAGGAGCACCTTTCTGTTATTTTTGGAGCTGACTGGTTGAGTGGAGAGAAGGTAACATGGGTTTGTTTGTTTGTTGTGTAGGTGATAGAGAAGAACCCAGGAGGTTGGTGGTACGTGCAGATTGGGAGATGGAAGGCTGGGCCCCCTGCTCTTACATCGACAAGCGCAAGAAGCCCAACCTCAGCAGACGGAGCAGCACTCTCACCCGCCCCAAAGTCCCTCCACCTGCTCCCCCGATCAAAAAGCAAGACTCAGAGGAGGCCCCCACGCCTCTGAATCCTTCCTCCAAAGCCACGGAGCAACCCAGCAGGCCAGTGTATGAGGAACCGGAGTATGATATTCCCGCAATCGGATGCGAGGGCGAATCTGACAGTGAATTTCTGAAGAACGAGCGCTCCCAAGAGGTGAAGACCAGCAATGTTGTCTCTGAAAAGTACCACAACTCTCCTCCGTCAAGTAAAGCTTCACCTCCGGTCTGCAAAGCTTCCCCAGTTTTCGCTCATCGAAGAACCTCGTTCAGATCTGTGGAAGAGGTCAGTAGGGAGGAGTGTATCTATGAGAATGATGGCTTCAGACTGAGCAGTGGCCTTGAAGGAACCAGAGTCAAAGGGTCCAGTGAACCCAGCTCGCCAAGGAGCTACCATTCTTCAACAGTCCCAAGGAAACCTTCTGGATCTTCCCCTCTTGCTGGTCTAACCAGGAAAACAGTAACGCCAGAGATGAGCAGAAGAAGTCAGACACTTGGCAGACATGTAGACATGAGGTCTCAGGACATCAGCCCTCACTCTTCTTCAGACGAACTAGTCAGAGGTCCAAAGAAAATTCCTGCCCTTAAGCGGGATATCGAACCAGGAATCGGTCAGAGCCCTTCCACCAGACCCAAGCCGTCTGTCAGACCTAAACCCCTCCTGACCAAATCAGAACCCCAGAGCCCTGAGAGAATGGACATCAGCTCTCTGAGACGGCAGCTGAGGCCTGCCAGTCAGTATCGACATACCCTCAAACCGACTCGCGGAGATGACTCAGAGACAGCTTCTGTTATCTCCTCAGAGGGTTCCATGTGTTCACGCAGTACGTCCGATCTGTCTTCTGTGTACTCTAAGGGGAGCCAAGGGGACTCAGATGTGGAAGGCCCTACCTTGTACCGCTCTGTGGATGTCTATAAGAAGGTCCAGGACTCTGAAATCAGCTTTCCGGCAGGAGTGGAAGTTGAGGTTTTAGAGAAGCAGGAGAGCGGATGGTGGTACGTCCGCTGGGGCTCAGAGGAGGGCTGGGCTCCCTCTTATTACCTTGAACCGGTCAAGAAGGTGGGTGAGCCCAGTGTTTTGGAGTCAAATGTACAAAGAAATAGTGGGAAAAAGTCTAACAGCCTGGAGAAGAACGAGAAGCATGTTTTAGACCTGAATAACATCAACATTCAGGGTCTGACCCAGCAGCACCAAGGATTGAGAGGAAATTCTCCTCCGATTCCTTCCAAGCCTCCCGGAGGCTTCTCCAAGCCCTCCGGACTGGTTAACGGAGGCGTTCGGATGAGAAATGGTGTACGGCAGGTGGCGGTGAGGCCACAGTCTGTTTTTGTGACCACATCACAGACCTCTAAGGATTCCCACTACATGACTGGTTCCTTACGGAGAAACGAGTCCCTCGGCAGGAGTGACCACTACAGCTCTGGTTCTGCCACTCTCGGAGTTCGCAGAAATGCCTCCTTCAGTACTGTACGACCCCACGTTGTCGTCGAAAGCCAGACGAGGCCAGTTGAGCGCTCCGGTCTGGGATGCTCAGGAACCGCCTTCAGCACCTCCAATGTCCCTGATGCCTTGAGCAGAGTGAGCCAGCGCAACGGGATCCCGGTGTCCACAGTGCGTCCCAAGCCCATCGAGAAGAGCCAGCTCATCCACAATAACCTCGGCAGGGATGTGTACGTGTCCATCGCAGACTACCGTGGCGACGAGGAGACAATGGGCTTCACTGAAGGAACATGTCTAGAGGTTCTGGAGAGAAACCCCAATGGATGGTGGTATTGCCAGGTGCAGGACAGCCTGCTTCCCCGCAAGGGCTGGGTCCCGTCTAATTACCTGGAGCGGAAAAAATAAAACCCAGTCCCCCTATATGATGTCTCCATAGAGCTGAGGGCCATGAGTCCCTAAGAATGTTTTCCCCAACCTCCCTTAAGCAATATGTCCTTGATAATGTACACTTTTGAAAAGATGGAGGAAATAGGAAGGAACACAATAAATTTTTCAGAGAATGGGAGAAAAAAACAGAACACCTCTGAAGCAGGAAGGCAGAGGAAAACATTGACATATTAAGGGAGAGGTTTCGATTCTGCAGAAGCCAAGCAGGATACTGGCTTAGCTGATTATGATGGCTAATAAGTGCCTTTTGTGTTTGATCACCTGATGGCAGAACTTTGAATCAACCAAATCTTTCTTCAAGAGTGCCATAGTCCTGCGAACACCACCAAGAGTTTTACTATTACCGCTTCAGAGATCCAAGCATCCTGATTCCAGTTCCTGATCAAACAGATTGAAGAAGACGACTATGAAATCTCTTTTTTGTATTTATCTGTTTCATTGTCACGTTTTGATGCAAGTCTTCCTCTCAGAATTATTTCTGCCGTCTTGGAACATCTGTTTGAAGTTCAAACTAACTCTGAACAAACAAGTTGGCCTAAACTGACGCTTACATTCCTCAAAGATGTGATGATTTTCAAACGTGTGTTTAGTGACATATGTGGAAAAACTCAGAAGTTTAATTTTTTAACGTATGCCTTTTAGACCAAAATTCCAGATAAAATGATTAGCTTACCAAGATTTCAGCTCCAGTAAAAACTGTTCCTGTTCCTATATGTGTTTTGTTTCATGTATTTAATATAAAGCTGCTGTCACTGCAACATGTGAAATAAATCCCAGGGACACACTCAAAATGTGATCACACCAAATAGAAACAGCTTTTCATCGGCAAAATGAACATTTTCTACTTTACCTGTTATTTATGGTAAAAAATGAACAGGCTTTTAATTAAAAATATTTTGAACTTTTTCTCTTCCTGGAAGAACTTGACATGTTTAGACAACATTAAAGAACAATGGAATAAAAAAAAATTAAAAAAAATTAGTAATGCTGTTCAATAGAGTTTTGATAACTATTTTTTATGTTTTGAATAATGTTTTATTCAACAACCATCCTGATATCCTGCAAATAAAACTGCAATTATGGACAAAAGTATCAATAATTCCCCATGATGCATCACATTCAGAGTTATAGCTGAACTTTCAGATTCATAATCAACAGATGTTCAAGACAGCTGAAATACATTTTCTGACTCACTTCAGGCTTTATGTGTTTATTTTATTTTATTATGTTTCTGCTGGACAGTATCATAATCTCTAACAGAGTACATAAACTGCTCAGAGTCTATTTTAACGAAACCATAAAGTTTTTTTCTTCGCTCTGTGATTGCACAACGGCAATAATGAGGAACGAAGTGGTTCTGTTTTGGGAAATTAGTGCACTTTAAAGCTTGTTTTGTAGTGCATTAATGTAAAGATGCAGTAAATACTCAGCATGATGCGAAAGTCAGCTGTTTTGGTACAATTGGCGAAACAGAGACCTCGTGTGGAGGTTGAGAGGTACTACAAGATTTTCTACCTCAGTGCAAGGATAAAACTGCGCTGCTGGTCAGTGAGTATCTCAGAAATTTTACTTTATTTTTCAATCATAGTGCAGCTAAATTTACTGAATTGATTTGTTACTATTTAATTTGTATCAAACAATAATTTATTTTTGCATTTCTTTATGCTGTGGACTGCAACTTTAGCAAAGCACGAGCACTTCCTTCATCTTTATTGGTCTTTACATAATGCCTGACTTAAAAGCATATTTATTATGAGGTTTTTATGATTTAACAATCAGCATTTTCACCCGTTCTAAGGATCTGTTCGTCAAATAATTACCTGGGTCTCTGCCTCAATCAGAGTTCAAGTATCTTGTAGATTGTTCATGATGGAGAGGGAAGTGAGAGCTCCGCTCTGAGCTGGGAGGTGAAGACCTTGATTTTGTTCTCCTTCCACTTTCCATCCTTCATAAGTTATGAATCATAACTGAAAAGAACAAGACACAAGCATTTCCTCCAGTAGAGGATTTTCAGGGTTCGGCACATTGTGTCCCATTACAACCACAAACCTCATGCAGGTTTTTGGTTCTTCATGTTGTAGACCAACACAGTTTGGTGAATAAATGTAAAGTGGAAGGAAGTAGAGGGCAGGAACATCATGTGTAGAGGCTCTGAGTCCTTGACGCAGAATTGTGTGGAGATGGTCGGCTCCTCATTGCTACATCCCCCTCTGTGTCCAGTTTTTTCTTCCCCAGCTACTAAAGACAAAGATCTTCTAAGGCCACAATATTAGAAAACCAAACATTACTGCACTTATAATAAGTTTTAAAATCAGTTGGGGTGGAAGGAGAGCATCTTTGATCATTTTTCATCTCTTATCACAGATTTGCTAATGGATTTCGGTCTGGACTTTAACTAGGCCATTTTAACACATGAACATGCTTTGATCTGAATGATTCCACTGTGGCTCTAACATTAGGATGGTTGTATTGCTGGAAGGTGAACTTTACACCCCAGTGTGAAATCTTACAACCATCCAGCTGCATGACAATCGGGACGATGTTCTTTAATCTTCTGCCACACAAAGGTTGGCAGTTTTGTTTGCAGGTCAGGAAGTTGGACATTGTCTGACTTTATCCAAGCAACTTCTTTCATTTTGTTCCATTTCCATTAATGTTTGTGGCTGTAGTGCGACAGAATGCGGATGAAATGTTGCTGTTACCTCTGTGACCCAAACCCAGATGAATTCAGCTTCAAGGATAACAAGCGTTGATGTTTCATCTCTGCACCCAGAGTGAGGATGCTGATTGGTCCCTTGATGACGACGGCATTATGTAAATGTGTTGAATCACTTCGGCTCATGTTATGACTGCATACTGCTTCGTTTGATTGCTCTGAACCTTTGTTCACGGGAATCTTTCTGTACCAAATCTATATTTGCCTGTGCAGCATTTAACTATGCTTTAAATTACTTTTCTTTTTTCTCTCTGTTTTATTTGTCAAAAGTTGAAATGTACCCGTGAGGATATGTGCAATAGTCAGAAACGGCGCCGCAGATGTAAAAAAAAAAAAAAAGAAAAAGAAAGAGAAAAAGAAAAAAAAGTCTGCTGGGGATGGACGTTCTGGATCAAACCGAGGCCCTGAAACACATCGGACCAAAGCGGGAGCATCTCCACTGAAACCCGCTCCGGAGTCACATCACATCCATCTGGCAGCGGAGAGCCACGGGCCCCATCTTCAGGGGCCTCAGCGGCCTCAGCGGCCTCAGCGGCTCCGCTTTCAGCTGTCACGTTCGTGCCTGACTGGAGTTCTGAGATTTTTGTGTGTTGTTGTTTTTCCTCGGGAACGCGTCCTTCCTCTCAACCCACAGGAGCGTCTCTGCTGACATCCCCCCCTCCCTCGCTGTCAGACCCAGTCAGACCTCCTCGCCGCCGTTCGCCACGGTGAAGGTGACATTTACCTTCACCGTGGTGATGGCGCGCTCGCTGACGTCAGCCGGAGAGTCTCAGCAGTAAACAAGAGACCTGAGAGGCGAATTCTCCTCCAGGCCATTTCCTCTCCATCCATCATCTTCCAGGATGTTCACCAAACAGAAAAATCTGTTGTTTTTCTGAGCGCAGGGCCCCCAGCTTGCCGCACTGACGTGCTACAGGTCAGCGCACACGGCTCTCCGTCTCGTTAGGCGCTAGAAAGCCTTCAGTTTGAATACTTTAAGTCAAATTTAAGGAATAAATCTTCTGCTGAGAGTTACATGAAAAGCTTGAAACCATTCTCAGAGCTCTGGAGCGAATGTTGAAGATGTCTAACCTTTCATCAGCTTTAGAACTTTACAAATTAAAAAAACTGGAAAAAACAATTAAATCAGGTATAATTTCTGTTTTTGTCTGTCTAAATCTGGTAAAAGTTGCTGGGGAAAAAATTGATCATTTTAGATCAATTCCTGCTAATTTGCAGTGAAAAACTGCAGTTTCACTAAAAAAGCTCAAAAATGTTGAAATAATGAACTCTTTCTGGGATTAACCATGTTTATGTAGAATAAGGCCACTGAAAAAGGTAAATTCTTGCTTTTTTCTCAGCAGATTAAAGTCAAAATTGATTTAGGAATTACACCACACTCAGCTGAACAATGTTTCAGCTGCAATTTGTTGCTCATGTTGTTATTTGGAAGTCAAAATTTCTGATTTCCATTTTGGAAGAATCAACTTAAACCTCCCTGAAGACTTGAATATAGAATTTGACACTTTGTCCTTTTCCTTTGAAAAGCGGATTCACTCTCAGCTTAACTGGGTTTTATTTGAAACGTGGAGAAACTGGAATTTTTATTGCTTAGTTTCTCTTCTCTTGGTTTGCTTCCCAGTAAACCATCCAGTCTTTCCAGTGTCTGTTCTGGAAAATGTTCCTTAGTGTCTGAAAATGCAAGCTGCACATAAATGAATGGTTTATCAGATTTTCTTTTTCCAGAAACTAGTTACATATTCCAGCAGAATTACAGCTTCCATCCGAAACACTGTTGATGTGTCGGGATTATTCCCAGATCCGACCAGATCCTGGATATCCAGAGTACAAAATGCACCATTGTTTTCAGGAAGATCCACGGATAATAAAATGAGTCAGATTGAAATATTGATACAGGTCAACATCATGTTGCATTGGTTTCTGAATATTTGGGAAAATTTAATGTTTGCTGTTTTTTTAGCAAATTGTTACATTTCCATTTTATTACTCTCTAAAACTTCAAAATGCCATTTTGTGCAGCTTGTTATTCCCTCTTTGTCATTCCTTTAGTCTGAAGTGGGATTAATGCAGGATTGGGAATAGTTTTAAGCTGCTTGTCTAACTCTCAGCTGGAACAGACTTTTTATCCGAGCGTCTCTCAGCAGCAGCAACTTTTTAAAAAAATGTACGCAGAAAAGTTTGTGGATCTGATGAGGATCTGTTGGTTTCCATCTCAATCCATTATGATTCATTTAAAAACAGCTTGATGAAATGTCACGTTTCCTCTTCCTCTTGAAATGTCCTGGTTGTCTCAGAACGTTGACAGCATGCGTGTTTCAGAGCAGGTGTGTTCAGGTGAAGGAGGATGCAGGGAGATGGGAGGTGAAAGCATGTTGGTCAGTATTTGAATCGGATTTCATTTCAGATTCTGCATCTTCCTGAAGTGTTTGAGGAAGATTTGGGGAAACAATAGGTGTGAGACGGTCTCTGTCTTCACTTTGCTCCTTTCTTGTTTTGTTCAGAGGAAAACTGAAGGTGTTGAAGTGGAGGTGGAAAGTTTCTTTGCATGTAATGAAGCCAAGTTTGTGTAAGGAGGGAGTGTTGGTGGCGAGAGGAGCAGGTTTGGTTGGAGAGGTTTAGGAAGTGAAGGTTAAGAACGATTCTGCAGGTTTGTTATTTACTTTCTGGGTTATTTTAAGAGACTGAGAAGAAGGAGGAAGAGGAACAGGCTGTGTTGAGGAATGAAGCTTTGCTGCTGTGGCTGTTTTCATCTGACTCGTCGGTTTAATTAGGACAGCGGTTCATCTTCAGTAAAGTTGAGTGTGAGCGTATCCCAGATTCCCCGGTCATTCAGAGAACAGAGTTCATCTCCTCCCTGCTGTGGAACGCAGAGTGCCAAAAAATCCCACCGGAAAGTTCCTGCAGATCGGAAATCCTGCTCTGTAAATCCCGACACAGAACCAGTTTACCAGCCATGCTAACAAACAACTGCAGGCCTTCAGTTGGACCAAATGAGGTGCTACTCTTCCATGTTTCCTCTGTTTTCTTTCTCTGCATTGGGTTAAAGCCTCGCCGACTCCTTCTTTTCAGAAGACGTGCCATGAGGACTGGAAGTCCGGATGTTTCCCGATCTGAGACCTTCCCTTTTGAAAACAGGGCCGTTTCTTATCTCCAGCTTCATTTGACGAGTCTCGATGTCTTTCTCTTGTTTTGTATCTTCTACATGTTTACATTGTATCTGCCCAAAAGATAAACGATATTAAATGTATTATCTTTGCTGTTTTCACTTGTCTCCTGCTCATTTGTGCTCTTCACCATTCATTAGACCCAGGTGTTTGGAGGAATGACGTATCCAGGACAGTCCAGACCCAACATCAGGACTCAGCGCAAGGATGAAACAGAAATTGAGATAAAAGAGCAGCGAAGGTCCAGAGAAAACCTGTTAAACTGCTGAGTAAGACTCTAAAAATGAGATTTAATCCATGTCTAAACTTATTCCAGCTGATTTTCATAACACAAGAGAGACGTTGATTTGAAGAAGACAGACTGAACAAACTGAATTCCAGGTGCAAAAGAAAATGTTTGACAGTCCACAGTGTTTGATAGCGAATTCAAATGGTTCATTCAAGCAGGAATGTGCAACCAGCAGCTTCTGAGCCACACTCTGACAAAAACCAGAAGAAATTATCTGTTTTCATGCAACGATGCACATTTCCTCAGAATTCCCAAAACACTAAGCGATATTAACACTTTATATATAGTTATTTTTGTTTTTTGACAATAGGTTGAAAACTGCTTTTAAAAAAATTATTTTCCAGTGAAATTAACATCCTATTGAAGAAAATATATTAAACCAAAAACAACGCAAAAGTTAATATATATCTTAGTTACTATTATGAAAAAATAAGGCATATTGTTTTGAAGATTCATGCTGATTTTGTGTCTTTACCTGTTTTTACTTCATTTAGCAAAAATGAAAAAACTAACAGGGTGAAGTACCTGGACATTTCCACTTGGGGGAGCTCTTTCTCCAGCCTGTAAATGACGGCGGTTTCCATGTGAATAAAGCTGCCAGCTGCAGGTCAGGACATTTGGAAGGAAATTCTTTTGGTCTTTTATTCTAAGAAGCTCATGATGTTGTTAACTCAGAGCGATGACGATCTGAGGCTCAGATGAACGACAGAAAACGCTCCGGCTTTCTTTTCTTCTTCTGACTCGTCTTCATGATCCTCAGTCAGTTCCTTTGTGTGGAGATGATCTGAATCAGGTTCAGGTAAAAAACTTCAGAACGCCTTCAGCTGAGCCTTCACGACCCTCTGACCCCAGACCTCTCGGCTGGGGTCAAAGGTCAGAGTCAGACAGAAATACAATAAAAAAATTTGGCCAGTGGCAGGAATGGTTTAGAAAAAGTTAGTTGTGTTAACCCTGAGGCACTAATCATAAATCCTAACGCGCTGACATTTAATTTATTGGAAGTTAATGTTAAAGCTCTTCTTCAATTCCAATATCTGCTCTTGAAAGACTAGAATCCAATTTAACGTACGTTGTTTTATGAAGCGCTTTGCTTCTGTATTTATGTTTAAATCGTATTCTCCATGTTTGTTTCTTGTTTGAAATAAATTTATTTAAAAAAAGAGTCTTCACCCCCTTCAAAATAAAGGTATGAATATATCGCTCTAACTGTGCTGAACTTTATTCAACTGAAAGTCAAGCAACTCAGTTTTAAAATGTATCTGGAAAAATTAATTGAGAAGCTAACTGCGCTAAGTTAGCAAAAAGGCTAAAGCGCTAAAAGACTAAAATGTGTCATTTCATTCACTTCCCTCGACCGTCACCAAACTACAAGCACAGAATGAAAGAAATAGATGCAAGTTACTTTCTACTGACAGTATTTTAATAATGAGTCAAAAACGTTCGGCTTAAACACATCTGGAAAGTTTATTAACCACAATCATCCAACTCACACTGCTGCTTTAAATGAAAAAGAAACAAAATACAGATTTCCGTGTCACCAAACTGAGCGCATATTCATCGTTTTTCCAGCTTTGTGCAGGAACGCCAGCAGCGTTCCACTCTGAAGTTTGCTTGGTCCCAATGTTCACTCTGGTGAACAAAAGGGTTTCATCTCAGGCGTGACGGCGAGATTTAAAGAAAGTGTGAATGTGCAGCTGTGTGAGTAAGCAGAGCTCCATAAACATCAAATAGATGCAGAAAAAAAAAGCAAACACATGAACCAAAGCAGTCCACACGTCAGTGATGGACAAATAAATATTACATTACAGGTTCATAACATTCAAGGAGCGTCTTGAGTTCTGTGCATGAAGGATAAGAAAAATAGCATCACACTGAAAGTATAAAACCATTTCCAGGTCAATGTCTGACAGACAGACTGCAGGTTGGGGATTTATTCCAAAAAATGAACAAACAGGGCAGCTTTTGATTTGGTCTACAGAGTAAGGAGAGAGCAACGCTGACCTGAACACTTACTTACAAGATTACAATCTGTAGCCTCATAAAGTGACATTTCCATTACTATACACTGATATAATAAGTGCTATAAACACAGAGGCGGGGAGTGAAGGTCCCTAATGCAGCTAAATAAACACCGTAAATTACAGCAAACACCTGAAATCGGGTTTTGATTGTACTGCAAACGTCTCTCCACAGCATCGGGTTCGAACAAACGTTTCTGATCTCATGGTTTCAATAAAGAAGAAAACAAGGAGAAATCTTAGGAGCAAATTTAAAAATGAAAAACACAAAAAGTTGGTTCTTTTTCCTCAGTTTAAGTGAATACATTTCTTTAAACTTATAAATTAACATTCAAATGTTGGGTTAACACTTAAAACAGTAGCAAATTCAAACCGACGGAGGAGAAACGTCCCGGCAAAACCAAACTAAAACATGGCCGCCGTGGGCAGGTCCACGTTCAGAGCACCGCCCTTCCTCTCACTTCCACCACCGGAACATAGCCTGGTCCCACATGACCTTTGACCTCTACCACATTACGGTCCTCTGGAGGAGAAAAGGTGAAATTTAAAAGCTGTGTGAAGATCACAAATGATCCAACAGCTGGCAGAACCAGTTTGACGTTGATTTCTGCACGTCTGTCCTAAGGTCTCATTACAGCACTGCATCAGGTTGAGGTCTGGACTTTGACTAGGTCATTGTAACATCTTGATTCTTCTGTTTTTCAGCCGCTCTGTCCCAGTTTGGATGGAGTTTCAGCCTCAGTTTGAGTCCAGAACACTTTAAAATGCAGACGAGTTCATGACATCTCTGCTTGGTCTCATCCGTCCAGAGGACATCCGTCCAGAGGACATTGTTCCAGACGTCTTTCCTTCAGCTGCTCCAGCCACGATGCACTTAGGTTTTTTTAATTGTCCTCTTATGAAGCGTGAGCTGCTGACTGAGGCCTGGAGGCTCTGAGACGGCGCCCTTCGATGTTTTGTAATTTCTTTGACCTTCGGACTGTCTCGGGGTGGACACCGGGACGTCCACTCCTGGGAAGATTGGTAGCTGCCCTGAACGTTGTCCACTTGAAAAATGTTTCCCTCTGTAGAATGAAACGGTTTGGAGATGATCTTCCAGTTGTACTAAACTCTGATCTGACATCTTTCCATCCTTTGTTCTAAAAATCTCTAAAAAGTTCTAGTTTTTTGGAAGAGTTTGTGACTCATCCGATCAACAGCTTTCTTTTTTCCATCTACACACATTTCCATTTTGGTGGGAGGTTGTTTTTATGCAGTTTTAAGACTTTCTACAGAATGGATGGTCATTTTTTTCCTGAGCTGGTAAACCTTCAAATTATTATTACATTTTCTTTTTACAATAAATATAAATTATATACTGAAAAAATCAGGGGTATAAATCATAGAAATATTTAAAGAAATAATTGATTTCAACTTTTCTTTTAACCTTCCACTAAACTTTCAGTAAAGGATCTCTGCTGCTGATGAAACTTCTGTCGCAAAGTGTATCTTACATCTAAAATATTCAATAAGGAAAATGGGTTTCTACAAAAATAGTTAGATTTTGTGTGCTTTTTGTTTCTCCTCTGAGTGAACAGCTGTGGCAGTCGGAGCCACACAGCAGCATCGTTTGGTTCTCCATCGGGGTTTTTGGAACACAGAACCGTTCTGTGCGTTAAGGCAGGAGGCTGATGGCAACAATCCTTTAACTCTTGGGATGGGGAGGATTCTTCATGTCAACACTCACAGTGTGTCAGGCAGAACTTTGTAGGTAGAATTTGGATAAAAGTGTACTGATGGTTGGCAGCTGGTCCTGAGGAGTAACCAAATGACTGTTTGTGTTTTCTGCAAGAAATCAGAGCTGCAGAGTTTGCAGGTTTGAGATTGTTTCAACAGATGAGTCTCAATAAATGCTGATTTCAGTGCAACACCACACTGCAGAACAAGCAGCTAGCTAGCACGACAATAGAGCTACCGACGATTTGAAATAAAACTACCATCAAGGTACGTTAGATTATACGAGTACAAGAGAGGTTACAATCCTACTGGAGACTCAGCACCGCTGGGCGTCTCTAACACCAAGAATCAGGATAAAGCAGCCGAGCTGCGCCCAGTAGCGCACAGACACAAGTTGTGACGTACTGAGGATGACGTGCAGCAGGCGTGCTTCACCAAGCAGAGGGTCAGTCAACACGTGAAGGAGCCGTCAACACATTCAGCCCCAAACTGACCCGGTAGCTTCAGCAAAAACAGGCCCAGATCACAACTAAAGGCTCCGAGACCAGATGAGTTCAGCTTCTTCCTCACTGAAAGCTTTCTCCAATCCCAAAGGAGGAAAACAAAGTCCCTGAACGTCACCGACTGTTGGTCAGACTGAGGCTCTTTACGTGCTGCGATACGTCTTGATGATGTCTTTGATCTGTCTCCTGCAGATGGGACAGCAGGCGTTGGACATCTTCTTCAGCTTGAGGCCGCAGCTGTAGCAGAGACACATGTGTCCGCAGGTGTAGATGACCGAGTCCACGGCATTCTCGTAGCAGATGGAGCACTCGTCGGCCCACGGGCCCCGGCCCGACGGGAACGTGGGAGACTTGGGGAGGCTGACCGGGGAGCTGGGCGTCGTTCCTGCAGCAACAGAAGAAACATCGTCATGTTGTTGATATGTGGTTTTCTGTTAAAATGACTGCGATTAATTAATTACACCCTGCAATTAACTTGATTAAAATTTTGATTAACATCAATGGAAAATTATGTGTGAGAATTTTCATTCAACTTCACAAACATGGAAAAACTTGTTGATAAATTCTCTATAAAAATATTAATGATTTGATTTTTGCTTCATCGTGTATTAAACACAGCAGATTTTCTTTTCTTTTGTCCCAGTCCTGTTTTCTTTTGCTTTGGGTTCTGTTGGGACATCTAGTGGTTACTGGGAGGAACAACAAAAATAGCATGAAAGTGTAAATCAGACACTGAATGGGAATTAGATGTGGATCTGTCAGTCAATAAGCTTCATGGCCCAGATCAAACATTTTCCTGAGACCCTCTGAAATCTCTCCACTGTCTCAGAAACACATCTCCATGTTCTCCTCTGGGTTGTCTTACCTCCTGCTGAGCTGCAGTAGGCGGCCGAACACAAGCCTCCGTTCAGGACCGGGTCAGAGATGCCGCTCCCCAGGGCGCTGGGCGTGTGGGGGGAGGAGGAGGGCGAGCTGGGGTTGGACGTGGCCCGTGGGTCCCCGACGTGAGTGGAGCCTAGCCAAGTGAAACAGAGCGCATGAGTTCCTTTAGATGGAGGAAATCGTTCTTTGATTGGTTGTGTCCGCTGGAAACCAAGACCGTTTTCACCAGGACAGTAATGAACAGTTCTGGACGAGGACAGGAAGTCTGGGTTAAAATCTAAAAAAGGAAAATTAAAGGTGTTCAACCTTTAGTGAGTAAATTTTAAAGTCATATTTTCAACATGTTCAAAATTAAATATTTCATTAGTAAACTACATATCTTAATTCTTTTGGACATTAATTCTATATTTTAGCACAACTTTTCTAATCAGCTGATGTATTATTTTTCCATATCTAAGGTGCAGTTGCTTTGCAGCAGTGAGGCTCTTTGGTGTTTCTGCATGAAGTTTTTATGCAGCTGCTGCTTTTGCTTCACCTCTCTTGTACAGAAGCACGGATCCTGGACAAAAGCAGTATTTACATTTTCCCAGCAGTTGAAGCATTGCAGCATGAAAGCAGAAAGAAAAGAAATTCCAACACATTTATCGATGTAAAGAGGAACAGGCGCAGTCAGGAGTCATCCAGCCTCCACGCTCATTGTATTTTACACAGAGGAGACAAATGGGAATTCCAAGCACAAGCGTCGGGAACACATGCTGGAATGCCAGTGATGTTTGGAAAGCCGGGAAGCAGCAGAATGACAACTAGGATGCAAAAGCTGAAACTTTGCTGCTCTAAAACGACCCGGTAAAAGTTAAGTGTTGTTGTCACCAGTGAGTGTTTGGAATCTGATCCCAGAATGACTGTTTACCTTTGTTCACTGTTGTCATATTTCACCAAACCAATAAGAATCAAAAACAATTACCGATGTTTGCTGTTTTTATTTATTTACGTCTTTAATTTTACGCAAACATTTTCTCATTTTTGTGCCATTTATTTCAGTATTTTTTCCTCATTTATTTGCTTGGAGTTTTCTCCGTTTTCTGCCTGTGATGAAAAGCCATGCAAGACGAAGACACTATTTTTACTTAAAGTAGAAAGCAGGAGGTATTAAAAGGACCCAGCTTGATGAATCCTGTTGGAATTAGATCTTACAGAAGGACTTATTAAACTTCTGCTGCTTCATTAGTTTGGCTGGAATTAACCTGAGGCAACAGGTCAAAGTGCATTCTGATAAATCTTCATTTTGCTTCTTTTCCAGCTCTTAATGTTCCCTCAGTAGCTGTAAACGTCTCCTGATATCACTCTTGTTCATCAGACGTGTTAAAAACAAACATTAGCGTCAGCCAGAGGGGCGTTATTTGTTAAATGGCCGTTTGGACTTTTATTCTTCTCCAAGTCATCTAATAAACAAAGATTTAAATTTAAACAATAAACTACTCCAGATAGCACCACAAATCACTTATCTCTCTCTGCTCTGATATTTATGCCGGCTTCCAATCACAGCAAGACTGGAAAACAGAATCTGCTTCATGCATTTAAATGCAAATCAGATGATACACAGAGCGAGCATCTAATCACCCACAAAGCTTCCCATCAAACACTTTGCTGCTTCGCCACAAAAGTACAGATTACTTTAATTACCCTCCCTGAAGCTCCCTGTCAAAAAACTCAGATTAACATTGGAAATCAGCTGCTGTGTACGTTTTAGGTACTTAACCAGAGACTGCTCTGTTTGTGTTGGACTTGCTGCTGATGGACTTTTGAAGGTGTGCTGGCTCCTCTGGCCAGGTAACATAAAAACATCAGATCCAAACTCACAGTAATCTGCAGATGGCTCAATCCGAACAGAGCCATCACACACACACACACACACACACACACACACACACACACACACACACACACACACACACACACACACACACACACACACACACACACACGATGGAGTTAATGTCCCTTGGAGCCAGGTCAGTATTTCTGTCCCTGCATCTTGTGGATCTAAATCAGGATCTGTTTGATGTTTGATGTGGCGTGATGCAACGGGACTCGGGTTGAGACATGGCATCTCTTTCGTTTACATGCCAGTGTGTGTGTGTGTGTGCCTGTGTGGGTGTGAGTGTGTGGGTGCGGGGTGGGAGATCAGCCTGGTCCTCCCAAACCCTCTGGTGCCAACTGCAGTGTGTACGAGTGTTACTGTGCTGCAGCTTGGAGTGTTTTACAAGACATGCTGGGGAGGAACTCTGTCAGGAGGAGCAGCTCCTCCTCTAAAACACACGGAGGCACCTGAACGCCTGATGGAGGGATAAAAACGTGGCCTTGGTAAAACGACGTTTCAGACCATCGCTGACCTTTAAAAGCCTCCCGAGGTTAAGATTTTCTCACTGCTGCACTTCAGCTCTATTTCCAGAGGGGGCAGCCTTGTTTGATACTCCAGTAACCATGGCAATAGGTTGACGAGGAGGAAACTTGTGGTGAATCGCAGCATCACATTTTTCTCTAACAAAGTTAAAAACACTTTCTTGTCTCACTGACTGAGAGCGCAGCTCCAAACCTGCTGGAGCTTTAAGGAGCGATTATGAAGAAAATATTGACATTTCATGAAACATCGAGCGTGTACGTCGATTTGATGCATTCCCGTTTCATACAGTGCATGTGTGTAAGGCGCCTAAGCCACAGTGTATCTATTTATAGGATCATCTGAAGATCTGGAGACAAAAAGCTTAACGCATAATTACAACCGGAGTTAGGCAGAAAGTTTGCAAGGTGACCATCAGCTGGAGCTTCTTTCTCACTGCAGACAGAGAGTCTGCATAGTGTAGTGTGATTTTTCATTTTTCATATGCTGGCCTGATTACCCCTAAAAATTCTGGTCTTGGTTAAACATGTAGAGTGCATTACCATGGTCCGGACGATCCAAAACACAGAACCCAAAGCAAATGGTTTTCTATCATTAGATTTTGCCAAAACATCAAAAGGCCCAATGATCTGCTTAATCTTCACAATAATAGTCTCTAGTGCAAAGATAAATATTTAAGTTTTTCCTAATAGAAGAAAACTGTCAGACATCGAGATTTTAACTTGAACATTTTAGTAAAATGTGGAATTTCAAAGTATTTAGATATCTTTCTGTTCACTCTACCATGTTTTAAGGAAGTTCTTTAATGTGACATAATAAAACTATAACTGAACATTCATAAGTGAACTTGTCTCAGTGTTGAACAAAGAGGATGAAGATGTGAAAACTGTCCAGCTGTTTCGCAGAGAACCGACGTCCAGCTGCAGAGCAGAAGCTCAGAACATTTCACCAACACGGTGCGATTGCGTCACCTCACATCAGATGACTGGCGCTCGCTCAACCTGCTGCATGTCCCTCTGTTTGCCTCTTCCTGTTAATCCCCACTGGGGGGCAAGTGGGAGGACGCCGCCCCAGAAGGACAGCTGATGCAGGATCAGCCCTGATCCCGTCTGGATTACAGCGACGGCTGCGAACAGCTGTGAGAAGCCGGGCGAGGCCACATCCCTGCTGCCGGCTCCACCCAGCAGGGATGGACCCGGCAACCATCCCACTATAACAGAGGAATGTTCTGCTTGCAAATGGAATAAATAAACCAAAGGAGAGAACTGAAAGAAGTTCTTTAAATAGTTTTTGTTGGTGTGAAAGTCGATGCCCCTTCCTAGAAAAAACAACTCTTCATGTGGAAACAGAAGCTCTCGTTATGAGGAACCCATAAGGCCCGTTTGGGACAGAGGAGAGGAAAACTGCTCAGCAGTTGGAAGGTTAAGGTCATGAATAACCTCAGGGCATAAAACGCTAATGTTCTCCTTCTGTCTGTGCAGAAGATGCTATCCTTAGAGACAAAGAGGCGGCTCTGCTGCGAGGAGACGGCCATTCATCCCTGAACTGTTTGTCTCCACATCAAAGTACGCCAAGACCAGATCAGCTTAGAAATCAGGGTCAGAAATGCAAACAAGAAATATTGTTTATAATAACCAGAAATAGATTTCCTGTTTTTAAGCTTCCAATGCATTTCTAAAGTTTATTCTGTCAAAATGGTCAAATACTGAAGGATGTTACTGCAAAACGTCAACATGAACCTGATAGGTATTTATGAATCTAAATAAAAGAACAAACAGACAACGTAAGTGAATTTTTTGAAAGCTTTTGCAAAAGGAGAGAACCCAGCAAATTGCTGCTTAAAGCCGTTCACTGAGCGCTCTGAAGACCCTTTGTTAGGGATTTCTCTTTATTACAAAGTAGAAAAGGAATGTGGAGGGAGGCAGATAGGAGTATCCCGAAGATACAAGTGGCTGCAGCTCCAAGGTCTAACAAGTATGAAAGCTTTTCTCAGGGATGTGAATAATAAATCTATTATAACTACCAATGTAAGAATGATAACAAAACATAATTATTCTAACAGAACCAACTTCCTACTGTTGGCCTTATTCAGAAGTATTACCTTTGATAGAGCAATACTATTACTTTACAGAATGTGACCCTTTTTGACCTTTGAACCCCAGTATTCCTGCAGGTTAAGGAGCCACATTATGAACTTGAAACCCCTCCTCTAAAGGCTAAAGGATTTCTGTTGTTAAATTGTTGATCAATTTTACCACCTAATTTGGATTTGGCCTCCAAATTTCTTTTATATTATCTTGGCATATTTGGTAATCTGACACCACATGCTGGTTTTATCCCTTTCATTCAGGTGCAGCAGAAACAAGAACAGCAGCAGTTTGAAATGGTGAATTGATCACCATTTAAAAGAAGAAAATGCATCAATTCATTTTTCCAGGAACATTTTACATTTAAACTCGCAGACTGAGGCTGAAAGGTGAAGCATTTCTCTGCACTAACAGGTGGTTTCACACAAACCACCCAAACCTTAAACCTGCAGCTTTGCAAATAATGCAGAAAGTGACAGAAATGTATGCATATATTTTTCCTAAGTGTAAATAAATGCACAGAGTCTTTGAAAACATATTTGCTCAGTTTCGTGCAGCAGGTTCTTTGAATTTCTGACTCAATTAAATTCTCCAAACAGAAGATACAAACTGCTCACAACATCTCAGTAGAACTTCGCATGAAGAAATGGAAAGACTAAACCTCTAATTCAGCGATGGGTTTTGTCAGCTCCTGTTTGTCGGCTATTAGAAACACTGCAGTGTGCAGAAATGAATAAAAATGAGCAAACGATGTGGAAAAAACGGGAGGAGAGGCTGGGATCAGAGAGGAACGGCAGCTGAAGCACGCGAGCCGCTTCACTTCAGCACCAGCCTGTTGACATTTTAATAGGATCCATAATACCAGCGAAGTGGGTCAGTGGCTGAGCGTTGTGTTTCAGCGCCAGCGGGGCCGAGTCCGCTCAGCACCTGAAGTTCTGCCCTGCTTTCTACTCGTTTTGGTCCAATCCTGCTCAGAAGAGATTTCTGGAGATCAGAAATAATTTGAAACCTGCGGGCGACGCGTCTCTGTAAACCGATTCTGTCACGTTACGCTCGTCAGGCTGAACCGCCTGCGGACGGCGTGTTGGACTGTACAAAGGTCAGCTGGTCATTCAGTGCCTCTGCTGGGAAAACAATTTGATTTCATGTCAAATAAAATATCTGTCAAAAGTTGTGAAATCTTCCCTTGTTGAGCCGAGTTATGACCTCATCGAAGGTTCAAATTAAACAGCGTTTAATTCAAGTTGACTCAAACTTTATTTGAAAGCTTTGAGAGCCTAATTTCTTCCTTTTTGTTCTGCAGACTTGGTAAGATCATCTGGACCAACCTAATGGACAGTGAAGTGTTTGAGATCTGAGAAACAAAAGGCAACACAGTTCATGCATCTCTGTTGAAATTTGAAATGAATTTTGCTCTGAAATGTCACTGGCTGGAATCTGAACCTGGTTCTGAAACTTCAGCCCTCGGCTTCTCCAAAGCTCTTCTTTTCTGAATTGATTAAATTAGCTACACTGGATTTAAATCCAACAACAACAAAGATGATAATACTCTTTCTAGTTGTATTTCTATTTAGTTCAGTGAAGTTTATTAGGTTTTTAAATAGGGGTTTTGTAAACCTCAGAATGGAGGGTATTTATCTCCCCCCATCATGAAGTTCTGTTCCCGTCAGAGCTCCATTACTCTGCTCTCTGCTGCATCGCTCCATCTGGAAGCGCCGCAGACCCACTGGGACGCATCCCTCACTCCAACCGGTTCAGTCCAACCCACGGTGCGGCTGCTCACAGCAAATCAGCAGATAAGGAGCTGTAGCAGAAAGATAAGAGTCGCTTCCTAATTCGAAGCAGCTGAAAGGTAAAGAAGAGTCACACTTCACTGGGATTTCCAAAGATGGGAGCTGATAAGGAGACGTGCCTCGGATCTCTCATTGTTCTGCGGTTCCGGTTCTGTTGCGCTGCCAGGGATTTTTGTTTTCCGTAAATGACTATTAGAAACACACAGGCGACCAGGTGGTCAGCTGAACTCCAGCCAAACACTCATTTAGCTGTGAAGTATCACAGAGTGTTCTCGCTGGGACTTTTGGACCTGATTAGAAAAACAACAGAAAGAGGAATGAATGTGAGCACAGCCAGCGATCAGAGAGAGTCACGGCGACATTAAGGTCCATAAAGGCCGGCAGTCTGCTGCTCTGGCATTTGCTGAATTGATCTCTGTCAACATGATGCAGCTTTACTGGCGCTGGCCGTGACTTATCGACAGCCTCGTCTGTTGCTTTGTTGTCAGCTGATGTTGGGGGACAGGGGGTGAAGAGCGGTGAACACAGCGGACACTCAGGTCTACACTACAACAGTTCAGAGCAAGAAGAAACAGGGGAAAATGTTAAAATCCTAAAGAGAAACATAACAGTCAAATCTATTTTGAAAAATCAAAGTAGATCTCTGAGTTGTTACAGCAGCCACAAGAAACGAATATGAGCGTCACTGGTTCAAATCCTGTACAAAAAAATCTATCAAGCACCTTTTGCTATCCAATTATTAATCTGTTAATCCAAAAACAGTCCAGAACCCTCTGGTGGACACGCAGGGAAATGCAGTCAGTAATGATGAACTGTGTGACATCAATACCATGTAAGCCAACTATTCTATTGTAAAATCTAAAATAAGTCATTAAACTGTGATTTAATGACTGGTGAAGTTTGACGTTCTGCAGCTCAAACTTCAGATGCTGTTTTTAATGGAAAGTATGTGTGAGATAAAGACGCCCTGAGTTAATATGAAATCCATTCATATCCTCTTTTAAAGACGCAATCCATCGTTACTGTGTTCCTTACAGTAAAATCTGCAGCTCTGAACCTTTTGAAGCGCTGCTTCCTTTTCCTCCGTCACCAGAGGAAAGCAGGATGAGGTTTTAGTTCCTCTGCAATCAAACACTTCTGCTGTCGGCTGTTTTACCTTTAACAAAAGCTGCGTGACACTTATACAATCATTTTTACAATCTGTTTGTCGTATGGATGTTGGATGCAGAGGTGTCCTCCCATCCTTCTCATCATCACTGAAATCATTTAAACTTCTGAAAAGCAAAAGGTCCAGATAAACGAGACCTCAAGCCGCCTCACCTTTTCTATGCCGTTTTTTGTTTTACATCCTGTTTTTCCAGGTCAGGACAGAGCTCTCCTCTTCTCTGAATCTACTCACATCCTTCCCTCCTCAAGACCTCTGCTGTAAACACTGTGACAAACAGTAACAGAGCACGCTAGTTCACCTTTGACCCCTGAGTTCCTGGGCTGGTGTGCTGGCGGAGCATTCTGCACTTAGCAGGAATCCATTTCACCCAGCAGGGCGAGTAAATGAATTAAGGATGGCGGTTTCATCCGCTCAGTGCCGGGCCAGATGAGATCGATACATTGATCTTTGAGCTCATGACCCGGGACACGTCCCACAGCTAAAGGCTCGGTTATTTCCCACATCGATTATTCCTCCAAAGTGGAATAATCCACCGAGAAAGCCTGGAATGAAAGAGAAAAACTGTCCTTTTCCCTGTTAGGGAGACAAAACCAGCTGATAAAGATGAGTGCAACAGTTTACATTTTTTAAAAGATTTGTTTGCAGATTAGAATTTTGTTCACCATTTCAAATGTTTGCTTAATATAATAAAGATATTTAATTCCTTACTACCTTGGTTCATGTTTTTGCACAGTATTTCTGCAGTTTGTTGCTGAATCAGCGGAGATTCTATGATAGAAACTGATCAAATTAGCAGCAATGCAACAACACACTCGGTTAAGACGAGGCCAGCTGCATCATATCAGGACAGCTTCTAATATTGTAGCATTATCTGAAAATTTATTGACTGTTTTCTTCCTTTCACCAATATTGATATTTTTATGTTCATGACAAACAACCACACACCCACACACCCCACAGAAGTGCAATTTAGAGAGATCAATTGACTGATCAGTCAGAGAGAACCAGTCATTACAGGGACAACATGCAAACTCCATGCAGAAAATCCCTGGTTCTGCTGATTCATTTACTCTCATTCATTTGTAAACCGCCTTGAAAATCTTTGTTGGTAGTTCTAGTACTTACCCAGAATCCTCAGCTGTGTCACAGCTCCGTGCAGGCCGAAGAACATCCAGAGGGGGCGCGAGTTGTCCACGCACACCTGCATCCCCACGTTGGTGCCGTTGTGGCTGAGGATGACCTCCCCTTCCTGGTTGACCAGGAAGCCCAGGATGTCGCTGCTCTGCAGAGGCGTCGGCACGCGGCACACGGCCCAGAACTCCTTCCTGTCCACCAGAGCCTCAGGGTTGTACGGCAGGTCGCTGGGGCGCAGCACTGCCGGGTCGCAGGAGGTCACGCCGTACGACAGTGAGCCCGAGCGCACCGGGCTGGACTTGGTGACCTTGATAAAGACGGTCTCTCCGGTGCGCAGGGGCCGGTTGGTGAAGACCAGCGTCCGTTCCTCCCGGGCGTGCTCAGACCGGGCCACTGTCTGCTCGTCCAGCGTCTTGATGTGGGCGCCGCGCAGCTGGTGGAAGTGCAGGTCGCTCTCCAGGGCTGACGGCAGCAGGGAGGACTGCTGCGAGTTCAGGGAATTCTGGGGAATGGGGCAGGTGGAGGAGGAGGACGCAGAGGCCAGGTGCAGCGTGTGGCGGTGAGAGTGGGCGGGGCCTCGGTCCTCCTGCTGCAGGTTGAGATCACACAGGCTGACGGAGAGGCGGGAGTCGTCTGCCTCGCGCCGCAGGGAGGAGGAGCGCACCGTGGTGAAGGAGCGTGGGCGCAGACAGTCCGGAGGAACGATCTCACTGTCTGCAGGACAGAAACAGGAACACAGTGTGAGAGAGCAGCAGCTAAACGCTGATTAGCAGTCTGCCTGAGGCCTGCAGCACTCTGGTCACCATCAACACGGATTTCATTCTTCATACATCAGCTGCATGCAGAGAATTTCTCCCTTTTGACAGATTGTTGCAAACGTATTTTTACATTCATAACCAGAGAGGAGATAAATGTCAACTGGAAGCAAAATGGGTTGAATATCTGAAAAGTGTGGAGTCCATTTGTCTTCAGTTTTTTTATGGTCTTCCCACTAGTTTCTACCCATTCCTCTTCTGAAAACCTCTACTTAGCATTTCCCTCCACTGCTGCAACATCTAACAGGTTGTCTTCCAGCATCATCTTGTCTTTAGCCCCATTGATCGACCATTAACTGTGACCAGTTTCCTTTTACCTGCTGGACAGAATTCCACAGCCTGATGCTGCCACCACTATGTTTCATGCTTAGTTTTATCTAAGCAAAGGACCCATTTTCCTGCAGTGGAAAACCACAGAGGGAACTTTTGAGGACAGTTGTTGCTCTGGATTTTATTAAGGCATAAAGGCAAATGCATGAAACTCTCCTGAGATCGTTTACTTGCTGAAAATGTTAAAAACCATGTTTCATGATGCTTACAGTGCATTACACTGAAGTTCTGTTTGTAGTGGACAAACTGTGAAAAAGTCACTGACTGTACCTGTAAAAATTTGAAAATGTACTTAAAGAAACAGAAACTAACAACCTCTGTTCCTGAACTGAAAACGTTCATGCTAATGCTGCTGTCAGCCATGGCAGGAAAATAAAAGGTATCGTTGATGATGAAGAGTCTGAGACATCCAAACAAGTTCAGTTTCTTCACTTCCTATCCCGGATCCCTGCTGAGAGCCGTTTATAACTGCCGGCTTTCTCTGTGTCTAATTTGTCTGATAAGCTGCCCAGAGGCTGCTTACACTTTCTAGATGTAGCTGCTTTAAATAACACGCCTTTAATAGCCTCCCCTGAGCCTGGCGGTGGTAAAATTAGCCTGACTGAGCTGCCTGTTTGGTCTGTAATAGTTTGGGTGGGATCAGATTATCTACAACATGCGTATTTGTTGGACTCAGGGAAATGATGATGCAGCACACAAACAAGACCTTAAAAACAGTGAGACAATTGTTGGAGGAGGCAGGAAGTGAACGAGGGATGAAAAACAGCAGCTGAAGGTCTGGAGAGCCTCTCCGGTCCGGGTCAGCACCGAGTCTCTCTATCTGAGCAGGGCCTGAGAGACCTGACTGCAGATAAACCTCTTAGCCTCATTACGAGGCCTGCAGGATGGGCTGCAAGCCGCAGCGGTGAGAACAGAACAGGAAGCCACTTATGATGCCGTCCTGCAGCTGACTGAGACACAAACCAAAGGCAGACCGATATGAAAAGCTTCCTGAAAGAAGATCTGTTCGACAGAACTAATCTGTGGTTTATGGAGATCATTTTTAACTTACAAACAAAAGCAGCAAACAAAAGCTTTAAAAACACAGCTCTATCCCAAACGCTGTCGGCCTGAGTGAGCAGCTGAATGTCAACGTTAAAGCAGAACAATTAGAAAAGGACGAAACAAGGTCGGGTGCAAACATTTCTGTTCAACATCATTGACTTTGCAGCAATCTAGTGGAGGTAGACACTTGATTGGATCAAGTCTTTAATTTAGCAGCCACTCATCATCCGGATCGAGTTTTATGAGGACATGAACAACCTTTGCAATGGAAGAAATTTACAACAGAACCCGAACGAGGCTAAGAAAGACTGATTATCTTCAACAATTTAATCCATTTCAAAGCTTTTTCCTCCTGTGGCCAAAAACAAAATAATATCTGTGTCTTAAAATTAACACAAATAATTAAAAGTGGAACTCAATTAAAATTTGAATTGAGTTATTTGCAGGGTCTGTAATTAATTAATGGCTATTAATCACATTTTCATTGAAAACAATATCAACAGAATAAGCAATGATTTCATTTCAACGACATAATCTTCTGCTGCAAGATTATTGAATAAATATAATCTCAACAACAAATATTGTTTTTAATCTGTTATTTTTGTTAAATCATTAGATTTCTGCAAAGTGTTATTCTATTTATTCATTTTTCCAGAGTTTCAGTCAGGAACGCCTCCAGAAATGTGGACATTAGTGTTGGTGGCGTCTGTGCTGCTGCATATTTAGCATTGAGATGCTATTTTAGGCTAGCACGGTGTTTCTCAACCTTTACCGCCTCCATCAAGGAATTTGTAGGTTACTTTTTACTGAATATTATTTTATTATTAAATTACAATCTCTATTGTTAATGCTTTAATTTTTGTGGTTGTTTCTGGAGTTATCGTCTAAAATTATTTCCCAGAACAAAAGAGCAATGTGAATACAAGCGTCTAAGAAAATGCAACGAATGGATGTCGTTCTTGATCTATTCAGTGGATCTATTCACTGAATAGTGAATAGTGGATCTATTCACTGAATAGATCCACTGAATAGTGGATCTAAAAACTTTAGAGTCCTGCAGAGTTAGTTAAACTGTTCAGCTAAAGAACAGTTAGCTTTAACTTTGCTAGCTTTGTCAGGATTCCCCTTTTAGTTTGTTGGTACTACAGAAAGGTCTTATGGGTTGTAGTGCTCTGTCACACAACTTAAACATCCTCTGCATATCATGAGAGCTTTCAGTGTTTCAAAGAAACAGATAAACTCAGCCTGAATGCTAAGTGATATTTAATGCAAACTACAGATTCCTTTCATGTTAGCTCACGTGAACCCACCTTTACTAGAATCATGTCTATATATTCAGCTCATGTCGATTCCTCAGTTCTCTCCAGAAGGAAGCGAATCACATCAAACGTGATGCTTTAAATGTGTAAAACTGAACTGGAGTCGACAGCAGCCTCCTCCGCGTTTGATCCCCTGATTTTTATGCGCCGTGGATGAAATCCTGTCCGACTAAGTCTTGGAAAGATTACACAGCATCACCACTCCATCAAAGTCATGTTAGCTGTCAAACTTTGTTATTAATCTTTAATGGGACTCTGGCTTTTTAATTGCGTTAACAGATTAGTCTGAGAGGCTTTAAATGGAGAGGAAGGTACCTTTGGTGTGTGGGTAGCTCCCAGAGACTGCTAATCAACCATTAAACACCTCTCAGCTCTAAAGAGAGCAGCCGCTAACACTCCCAGAGGCGAGCGGCGCATCACTGGGCTGAATCCTTTCCATCCTAAGCTCTGAACATCTCAGAGCTCTGATGTTGTAACTTTATTGTTAAATAGATAAACAGATTCCTTTTATTTCTTTTGTTTTATTATTATTATTATTATGAGCAATTCCAATTTGATGATTTTGGTCCACAAGGATATTCTGCCTCTAAGCAGCGAGGCAGAGCTACATGATGGTAGTGGCAGCACCATACTGAGGCGATGCTTTCTTTAGAAGAAAGAAAGAAGGTTTATTTTTCAGCACACAACAGCCACAAACAACCAGAACTACGTCATTTTGATTCAAGCATATTCATGTTTTAGAACGGTCTAGTCAAAGTCCAAACCTAAATGATGAACAATATCCTGTTTAATTTTGCTCTGTTTATCTCCTCTGAAAAATATGTCTGTCTGTGGCAATACTTGGAAACAGACACTGTGTGTAATCACAGAGCTGGAGTCTTTTTTTTACAGAATAACGGGGGAAATGTTTTTCCTTCTGCTTCACAATAATCTGAGTTGGTTTATCACAAGTAGTCCTGATAGAATTTGTGGTTTTAACATAAAATACGGTAACATTGGGGTATAAATACTTCTGCAAAGTGCTGTATTGCTCCTAAATGTGCAGTCATTTACAGAAGGAAAGAAAACCTCAAAGTGACCTCTGCTGATGAGCAAAAGCTTTCAGTCCACCTGCAGCCGAATCCTCCGCCTCCCGCAGAGGATTGGAATGATGGGAGTCCTGCAGAGCCTGCGTCACTCCATCATACATTGAATTATGATTGGTTGGAGTTAGTCAGAGCTCTGGGACTCGCGGCAGGGACTGGATGGGCAATGATGACATATCTGTTGGAGAGGGATTCTGTGATGGAGGAGCCGCGCTGCCACTCCCAATCCTGGATTTATGTGGAAAGGAGGCAGTGGCAGCCTCCCAAGAGCCACAAATCGTCTCCCTGTCCTTTCTGCATGTCAGTGCTGCTTTAAGTCGAACTCAGGATGTGTGAACACACACCAAACGACGCACTGGCTCTTCTCACACTCGCTCATCTTTTGTTTTACAAAAAGCTTTCTGTGAGGTTTTGTGTTCCCTTTTACATCTTTTCCTTTGTCTGTTTCCTCAAAGGAAAGTCGTTTCAAACCTCATCTGTCTTTCTGAGACGAGGAAACTCTTTGCTTTATGAGGAACAAACCCTTTTCTCAGCTCAGAGGACAGAAAGGGGCTGCAGCCGTTACCGGGCTCTGTGTGTATGACCTCACCAGCTGCTGCCTGCTAATCGTTGGTGCACCTGCCTTTTTAACCGGTACGATCCCTTTGTTCCTATTGGTCCCATTCAAATTTAAACACTCGCAGATGCTGGAGCTCCTTCAGAAACTCTGTGTGCTCCTTCAACTAGCAACTCCACTTCAAAACCCAACAAATCAGAGGGAGTCCGTTTTGTTTTTTCCCTCATTCTCCAAAGGGGATTTTGTGATTCCAGTAATTAGGCACCTGTTGGGTTAATCTGCTGCAAATACATAGACGACAGGGATTTCAGGGTGGAGCAGTGTGTCTGTTTCAGGCCTCAGAGTCTCTGGCTCATGCTCTAAATGTTTTTGATTGGAGCAGCGAACAGGTTAGTTAACGCTGGACGGATGGAGAGGCTGGGTGGCTTTAGCGGCTTTGCCAGCCTGAGCAGACGGAACGTGCCAGGGGTTTGAGCTGCAGTTCGAGAGCGGCCGAGGGTTTGTGGAGGGATTTACTCTCTCTCGCTCGCAGCCTGCTTCACAGGGTTTATTATTTATCTGACTC